TGTGTCCTGTGCTGCAAACCTTTAAACCTCTGTAGCTCCAGTGCTGTGTGCAAAAAGTTAACGTACACCCCTGCTGTTTATTTTATATATATTTTCATTTACGTGTTGTGCAGCTGCATATTTTCAAACAAGGGGAAAAAAAAGTGTTTTATTTTGATCACAGTCTATTTTTATAAAAGTGCTTGTGACATCTCAAATGTGGCTTTGACTTGCAACTGAAAACATGTAGCCCATTTCATAGAAAACACCAAGATATATATCGTGTATCGCCATTCAGCCTGTAAATATGGAAATATGATTTGAAAGATGATAGATTTTTTTTTGTCCATATCGCCCAGCCTTAACTTGAGATAATGCTTTGAATATTTTCAGGTCTTCTCTTGTTTGCACTTGCCTGTAGTCGGGCAGTTGTTGCATGGCTAGGTGTGTTAGCATCATCCTCTCTGCACTTTCACCTGTGGTTTCTGAGTCAGAGTCTCTTACTTGAAAAGTTACTAAACGATCCATGTGACTCACAAGAATCTCCGTACACTTGGAATAATAACACAGCTAATTGGTCAATATTATGTAACTGTTTGCTAACTTTGCTAACACCTCACCGTTACAGGAAAGTACCACACATTGATTTAGTGTTAGCTAGCTCCGATGATTGCACAGGGGTTCATGGGTATCAGTTAGCCTATTATTTATGTTGTGTACTAGAAATTATTATTTTTTTAATGAATAGGCTGATTTATCTTTGACATATTTTAATTTTTGAAAAAAATCTGACAGTAATGTAGCATGAATTTTGATTTGAACCAACAGTCAGCAATAAACATGCTAACAGATTAGCTCGCTAGCAGCAGTGCTACTGAAGCCCAGTTATTCCCATCACATGACTCTTATCTTGCAGGTTGTAGTGGTCCCTTGAGAGTCTCATAGTCGGCTAAAGAATAGCATCCACTGTATTCAATGCTTCTGTCAGAGGCACTTTAGCAGGGCCGAGTTCTGAAGGGTGTCCTCCCAGTCTTCCCAGTCTCCCCAGTGAACCCAGCTGCTCAGTTGTTCTCAGTGTGATTAATCCGCTCTGGTTTTGTTTGCAGCTCTGTTCTGTGTTTGAGAATTAATTGTTGTTTACACTGTCTGCTGAGAATAGCAGGGCTAAATTCAAGTCATGGATTATTAACTCTGAGGTTTCCGCAGGGACGGTTTTCAAGAGGAGGGAGTCCTCCAGTTCACTGCAGCCCTGTCGTGTGAAGACTGTTTGCTCTTCTCATGTGATCTCTTTATTCACTGTTGTACCTGATCAACAGCCTTTGAATTATGTTTGCGTATTACACAATTTATAAACTATGCAATCTGGTTTGCTTGGTAGTGCCAGGAAATCCTAACTTACCTGGCAGCAGTAAATTATCCGCTCAGAGCAGCGTCTGAAGGGGAGCACAAAGGGGCTGGTGACTAACCTGCTCTCAGGTAAAGGATTGTCTCAGATGATTAGTTATACTGATTTACAGTCAGACGAGAAAGTCATCAGCTGCTTTACGTCATTAAAAACTTCACTGGTGTTTGTCAGAGGAGCGAACTTAGGATCCAACGTAAAGACTTAATGTGACAGTTCTAATGTAAAAACACTGCTACAGAAATAAACGCCCTCTTTTCCGTCAGCTTCACCTGCGCTGCCTCGCCTTTATGACTAAACTGAGAATGTTTCCTTAGGATTGTTCGCTGTGCATTGTACGACACAACCCTTTCATGTCTCTGTTTCATGTTATCAATAACATTTTAGCTCTGTGAGTCAGCTCTGGTCGTGTTTCCTTTGCAGTGATTAGTTATCTTTTGATGAAAATACAACTCTCTAATCAGGCACTCCCCAACAGAAGATGGAAATTTTCTCTCCCTTTCCATTTCCGTTTTTTTTTTGTCTTTATTCCTCCCTTTCTCTTTGTTCCTGAAACAAATGAAGAGCTGCAGCATCAGAGGATGTCTGGAGGGACGACATCCTGCAGACAGGGCTGAGCAAAATAAAGTTGAATGTTTCGGTCTGCCATAAAAAGTGTGCTATAAAAACTGCACTCACTGCACCTTCCCGTATTATCTTTTTTATTTACGGGAAATATGACGGGCACCTCATTGCACAACTGTACGCTTATAACATAAATGAAGAAAGCCTTATTACAATGAGCAGATGGGATAAAGTGCATCCTCAACTGAGGTTTAAAAACAACTTCTCTTTTCATTCAGATGTTGTAAAGAAAACTCTGCAGAAGTTTTTCTTGTGAATTTCACAATAAATTTCTGAGAAACTGTACATGAAGCTTCCTGTTCCCTACTGCAAAAAGTTTTGCTGAAAGTGAGGTGTGTCACGTGTGTGTTGCAAATGTGTGTTTTTATGAGAAACGCAGACAAATGGCAATAAACGGAAGTGAGAGCGCAGGGGAGAGACACTGGAGACAGAGCTCCCACACCGACTGCAGGATGTGTCCAGGCTTGTTCTCATCCAGTCTGTAAATGATTAGCAGGAAGAGGAATCACAGCTCAGACTCACTGCTGCGCTCTGACGCTTCACTCCCAGACAGCAGCCCCTCAGTCACACACACACACACACACACACACACACACACACACACACACCCTGAGGTCTTTACATCGCTGTAGCCTTTTGTTTAAATATAGATATCCTGTAATGTCAGATTTCAGCGCCTATCAGCCAAGCTCATGTTTCAGACTGTACACACTGAAACAAAGTGGTATTATTGTGCCTTGTCTGGCAGCAGGGTTACTACGCTGCTTGCAAATGTCTCTTAAAGGAATACTTCACCCAAAAATCATCATTTGTATCAATAACTCACCTCGTCTCACGTTGAAGTTGTGAGGAAAACTTTGTTTTTCTCACATGCTTCCACAGTGGAGAAGAATCAAAAAACGGAGAAAATTCTTTATGTATTGGGGTAAAAGGGGGCCACATTTAACAACAGCAAAACTATATCAAAACATCTGTTTACAAACTCTCACACAACTCATGCAGTTTAATCCAAGTCTTATTTATCCAGTCGTATGGTCAGCACTTCCCAAACACATGCATTTTCTCTTAAACCTCACTATTTAAAATCAAATCTACATATGAGTAGTGCTCACGGATGAGTGGCATGCATGGACGAGGTGCATGCATTTGAACTTTGCTCAGTGGAATACATGAGCAGAGTTATAGGGTGCTTTCACACCTGCCCTGTTTGGTCGCTTCAATCAAACTCAAGTTTGTTTGCCACTTAGTGCGGTTTGTTTGGGCAGGTGTGAACACAGCAATCACACTCAGGTATGCACCAAAATAACCGGACTGAGACCCTCTTGAAGAGGTGGTCTTAGTCCGGTTACAAATGAACTCTGGTGCGGTTCATATGTGGTGAGAACGTGTTCCGACCTCGATCTGAACCAACTGCAGTCGCATTACGCATTGTTTGGGTTAAACATGAGCATGTTACAGTCCTGGAGGATTATTAATGTGCACCTCCTCCTGTACTGCCTTATTATGCACATTCAGCACATCCAATGCATCAAAACATTGTTTTCTAGTTGGAGCTGAGCCTCGTTTTCAAACTGTATGGTTTGACTAAAATGAACAATGACAGCAATATAGTCCACGATGAGCAGCGCTAAAATCAACCTGCGTAGTTGTCCCTCCATTGTGACATTAGAAAGTGTCACATTTATCTTGCAAGTGTACTCTTCTTCAACGTTTGGTTTACTTCCTGGTTTTTTCCTGCATGGGAATTCTGACCAATCAAGAGCAGCTTTCTCAGGCAAGACATTTTATCTGGTCCGCTTGTAAATGCTGCCGTGAGAACACAAACCAACTCTAGGCAATTATGCAGCTTTGTCAGAAAATTAGTCTCTGATTCAGACCAAAGCAAGACAACTCTAGGTCTGAAAGCACCCTAAAATAGCAGAAATGCATGAGTCTGGGAAATACTAAGACTTAGATTATGCTTGATTTGTGCTAGATGCATCCACAAGGGTATGAATGGCCAAAGTGACGTCACACCATCAGACATGGTGTTAGCTGGGGTCCCATGTGGTAGATTTTTGCTTGTCTGTATACATTGGACATCTTCTAACTTTGCAGATGTGGATTGATGGAGAAAATGGAGAACCATGCTGCAGACAAGAGTTTTTGATCCTCTGTCGTTTACAATTTGGGAGAATATTGGTTTCCCGCATTGAAAAACCCACACAGAGTGTAAAAGATCCGAATGTTTCCTTGTCACAATGCCACATCAGGTCATGTCTGTGGGACCATCCGTGTGGGAAGCATAACTGAGGCTTTATACTGCACAAGTTGTGTGAGAGTTTGTAAACGGATGTTTTGATATAGTTTAAAGCAGAGCCTTTTTTACTCCCAATTCATCAAGAATCCTCAGTTTTTGGATTCTTTGCTCAAAAGTTGCAGCTCCTGCACTTTGGATGTTGCAGTAAACCATAACAAGTTTTTCACTTCATGTTTGCCAAAAACTAACAGAAACAAAAAAAAGAATTTGCATAATGATGGGCGTGCCTCTGCTTTGTGTGAACTCACTGATGAAAAAACCTTGTTAGTGATGTCACTTTTGGGAACAGCCCTGCAGAGGAAGAGGAAGTATAGAAGAGTCGTTGATGCTTATTAAACCGACATGTGTAGTTTCCAACATACTCAAGTAAATGTAGTTAAATGATTTACTGGCCTAATATCAATATAACACTCTTCCCTGCACAGACCATAATACTGACCCATGCTCCAGTACTCTCTGCTCATTCAGTCTGTTGAGTGTCGGTTCTTCCTGTTGTAGAGAGAGCATTGAAGTGCATCTGAATTGACCTTGAAAATATTAAAAGGTGCAGAGACTGTGAAAAGAAAACCCCAACGCTTCATCATCGTTCTTAATCTGTCCTCATTACATCTTTGCTTAATACCCCAAATCCCTCTATACCAGTGTCACATTCTCTTCAGGGTTATTGAAGCTTGTCTTTGTTGTCCTTTGTTACAGTGTTGTTTTGCCCAGGATGTCTTCGAAGGCTCACAGTTCCAACAACATCGCCCATGCCCGGCGGACGGTGCAGCAGCTGAGAATAGAGGCGAGCATTGAGAGGATAAAGGTACAGTGCAACAATAAACCACCTTCCATGCATCTTTACATCTAAGTGGTATTGGAGAAATTAAAGAGTTCATACTAATAAAAATAACTTTTTTGAAGATAGAAAATCATTTATGTTTTTGCAGAATAACACTACTAAGAACATGCACTGATTTCTTTTTAAAAAATGAACAATGTGGCAAATGTAGGGAAATCCTTTCTTCTGTTTGGCTAATCATGTGATCACTTGAGAGCTGCTCTTAAATGGTAAGTTTGGCATTTTTCAACCTGGACACCATTTTCTGATGTTTTTGTGTCTTAGTGACTAATGGAGACAACAGCTTCTGAAACTGGTTAGCGTTGAGTGAGAGGGTTGCAGCTGGCAGCGGTTAAACAGGCTGCAATGTAACCACTCATTAGTCGGCAAGATTTCATCGGTCACTTAGTCGCAGAAAAAACAAAACAGTGAAACATCTTTTGGAGCTGTGCCTTGTCAAAATAAACCAAAACCTATATGACTGGACCATGTGGAGATTTAATTTGAAAGGACAGACACAGGAAGTGGCCACGCTCAGCAGTCAGACAGGAGTCAGGTTAATTTCCAGGGCTGGTACCTGCAGTTATTACACAGGCTAGTTAATAACATGTCGAGCAGGAAATCCAAAGTGTGGGATCATTTTGAGAAGGTGAAGGACGAACCCAAGGTGATATGTAAACTCATCTTCATTGGTTGACATGACATATCATCTGAAACATGGAAGTAGCTACATGCCCATTAGCCCATAGCGTCATTAACAGGCGGCTCGCTCAGTGTGTGACGTGCACTTGTAGATAAAATATAGGCCTATATTAATGAAGGTTCATTAGTACGGTTTTGTGTTTCTCTGTAATGTAGCACAGTGTTAACAATGTTACTGATACTATTCTTTCTCACATCTTCAACTCAAACCATTGTGTTGCCCTGCCCAAAATATATCATTTAATAATTAAATTAATATCATAAACATGCGGGCAGCTAGTCGACTAATGGCCCTAAATGACGACTATTGGTCGACTAGGAGAATTCTTAGTCAGGGGCAGCCCCACTTCACTTAAAGGGTTTTTGCCTCTGATTGAGAAATTGTTAGATCCCTACAGAGGTAGACCTTCTTATTAAAGAGTAAGATCATTTTTGTTTAACTAGAAATGGCACCAAAATCGCCATCCCTAAACCCACCAAACTCCAGTTAATTTAACACGTATAAAGCCAGCATATTTTTACATCTAACTGGGTGAATTTGGGGTTTATTTCAACCAAAAGACAAACCAAAACAGCTTGTGTGGGTTTAATTTTGTGTCTGTTGTTTAGAATAAAGTTTGTTTTATGAAGATAAAATAACTGTTTATCTAAATGGGGTCTGGTGGGTTTGACGATAGTGACTTCTGAGCAGTTTATGGTTAAACAAAAAGGATCTTACTCTTTAACAAAATGGTGTATCTCTGTAGGGATCATTTCCAGGGTCTGGATCAAAACTGGACCAGTTTCAAAAACTGTCATCTCCATTAGTCACTTACACACAAATCATGGGGAAATCAGGTCCAGGTTGAAAAAGTTGCCTTTTACTGCTTTATAACTGAAGTTGTGTCTTTGTCTTCTGTTGTTCCTGTAGGTATCCAAGGCCTCTGCAGACCTTATGAATTACTGCAGTGAACATGCCAGAAACGACCCTCTCCTTATGGGCATCCCCGCCTCAGACAATCCCTTCAAGGACAAAAAACCCTGCACTATATTGTAGTGGATGCCACTTAGCCTTTACCTGTTTTTTTTTTTTTTTTTTTGGCTTATTAATGTTGCTGTATTCTTTTTGAGGAGTGGAGGAGTGAGGGGTGGACTGTGATCATATTGTTACCATGTGTTCACCTGATCTGCTAAGAAATCAGGTGAACACATGGTAACAATATGAGTTCACCTGATCTGCTAAGAAATCAGCAATTCAGCCAATTCAAAACAGTAACGAGCGAAAAAGGCCCCACTAGTGCCGCTATTCAGTTTGAGCTCTGACCACTAACAAGACTTTGGCTGCATGAGTTGGGATGGCATCAGGTACATAATTGCATTAATAATAATGAACAGCAGAGATGATTTTCTGAGTATTATAACATAATTGGGTGGATTTGGTCCCTCCCACTATGTGTAAACAGTCTCATATCCATTGAGCAGAGACTGTTACTGTCTCTCTGGTTTGCCTTGATTCATACAGCCAAAGTTTCCCTTCAGTCTTTTAAAAGCATATTATTTTTTAGATGGATAATATTGGCTTTTATTATGTAGCTTCAGACTTTCCACCAGTATTTTACAGTTTGTGCAGTTTCGATCACTGTGGTCAGTGGTCAGGGTTTACATTGAGCCTCTTCTCAAATGTTACCATGATGTATCTTTGACTGGGAACAGTAACATCACCATATCTGGTGTGAAATTCAGATACTCAAAGTATTCCGCTACCCAGCTCTTACTGGTCCACGACAATCTACATGCTGTTTAATGCATTGTTTTCCTGTCTGGTATTAGCAATGTGATAGCAACCCAGTCGCCAGAATAAATGTTGGCATTGTACGCTTTTATGCAAACCACAGATATCTGTATGTTTCATGTGTAGTGGATAACTTGAAACTTTATGTTTCAATTTTAGGTTGGTGGAATGCTGTAGTTAACCTGTGGTTATTCAGGCTTAAAAAAATTACTTATAATTAGGGCAACATCATGATTGGGCATAAAATACCAGGCTTGGTTGCCACAAACATGGCTGGAGATGACCCAATGTTGAATTGTTGAAAAACAACAGGTTTTGTCACTGCAGACACAGCTAGAAATGTCCCAAAGTGTTGTTAAAAAATTACCTGGTATTGTCCTTACTGATGTGGCTGGAAATGTTCCAAACTCTCGTTAAGAAAATACCTGCTCTTTCCGCTACAAATGTGGCCCGTAAATGTCCCAGACTGTTGCTAAAAAAAATACCCAGTATTGTCACCCAAAACATGGCTGAAAATGTCCTGACCACTTGTTAAAAAAAACACCCAATTTTGTCGCTACAAACATGGCTGACAATGTCTAGAGGTCTCGTCAAAAAATACTTAATTTTGTCGCTCCTAACGTGTCTGGAAATGTCCCAACCTCTTGTTCAAAAAAATAACAGGTTTTGTCGCTACAAACGTGGCTGGAAATGTCCCGACCTCTTCTTAAAAATTACCAGATTTTGTTGTTACAAAGACAGCTAGAAATGTCCCAATCTGTTGTTAAAAAATACCTGGATTTGTCACTGCTAACGTGTCTGGAAATGTCCCGACCTCTTGTTAAAAAAAATACCAGATTTTGTCGCTACAAACACAGCTAGAAATGTCCACGTCTGTTGTTAAAAACATACCTCGATTTGTCGCTACTAACGTGTCTGGAAATGCCCTGACCTCTTGTTAAAAAGTAGCAGGTTTTGTCCCTACAAACACAGCTGGAAATGTCCAGACCTCTTGTCAAAAATCCCCATTTTTACCCGATTTTGTCACTACAAACGTGGTTGTAGATGTCCAGACCTCTCATCAAAAAATACATGATTTTGTCACGACAAACACAGCTGAAAATGTCCCTAACTTCTGTTAAAAAATACCCAGTTTCATTGCTACAAACGTGGATGGAAATGTCTTGAACTCTCATTAAAAAATGCCAGCTTTTGTTTCGTTTTGGACAGCAGTCTTCTGTCTGCTGTTTGGCCGGGTTGGAGTTGGCAGCCGTCTCACACCATCTGCCTTCCCCTCCTCCTCCTGAACGTAGCCTATTTCATATACATATAATCTGAGCTATGTCACTTTAGAAATGTTGATATGATACATAGGAAATGAAACGTACCTGTGGTTTGCAGAAACATACAACGCCAACATTTTCTCAGGGCGACTGGGCTGATTAACGTGATACAGTGTTGTCTTTAGCGGATTTAATGAACCATCATATGGAGATAAAATCCATATAAACATCTTTAATCTAAGGTCATCTACGCTCAGATCCAAGCCATTGGGATAATGCGACCCCGCTGCTGTGATGCTTTTGGAAATTTTACCGCCGTACATGTAAAATACAGAATGAATGAAAATGCTTTATCACATAATGCAGTGCAGGTTTTTTTTTTTTTTTTTTTTGGAAAGTGTGACATTGTATGCAGGGTGACACTGTGTAATGAAGTCCCTGGGACCAAGCCAAACCAATGATACTGCATTTTAAAAACATCTAAATATGCGTCTGAATGAGACGATTCGTAGCCATTCCTTCTGAAAACTTTCTGTGGTACGATATTTTTAGGACGCTGACGGCACGAAGCACGTCAGCAAGTGTAACGCAACACTGTGAGCCACGCCTGCTTGCTCAGCACAAGTGTCTTAGTCGAGCGAATGTGCACATCGTTGTCTTAAAGTGTTTTCGGCACAAGTGTTGTAGGTACAGGTGCAAATGGTAGTGTGCATTGATGATGAAAACCACTCTCTCAAGACTGCTCTCAAATTTTTCATGTGTTTGGATTTAAACTATAACATTTGTGTCGGTGGGGGTCTTCAGTCTTCTGTCTAACATGTCCTTCATGTTGTGATTCTCTGGGGGAACAGCTATGATTAATGTAACAAAAAACAGAATAGAAAGCGTAAATTAAGAATTTCTTACACTCTAAAGCCTTACATGTTTGCCTTGTATCATGAAGAATACTCTAACTGGGAGTTTGATCTTAAAAAAAAAAAGATGTTTCTATCAAATGTTTTTATCTGTGGGATGAAAGTGATTTGTAACAATATTGTGCCATCTGTTTCTGTCCACACGTCACCTGTTAAACATGTTAAGTCGTGTTTCACTCACCTGGTGCTCCGCTTTTCAGCAGTTTTTTCGGTATTGTTGCCTTCTCCAAAGGGTACTTTCAGGTCTTCAGATGAGCAAGATCTGGTGTTATTATCCAGTTGTATTTTTTATGATTGTCTCTAACAGTTCTTCTTACTTGCAATAAATCATTGCTGTATGCCTCTTAAGGAAAAGTTCAGATTACCACTGCCATGTCATGATTTCTGTCCATTCTGCAACTCCGTAACGGCCTTATTGTACCATTGAGATTAATTTAACTGTCAAAATCTGCATTTTGATAAATGTCTTTATTAATATACCAACCTTTGTATGGAGACTTAACTGAAATTAATAAAGTGAAGCATTCCTACAGTACAGTACTGTACTAATATCTCAATAAAGATGTGTTGTGCTGCACAGTCAGAAGATTTCAACTTGTGATCGTCACTGATACCTTTTATACAACCTCAGATTTACAGTATTTAAAGGGACAGTTCACCTCATAATCAGATACATTTCTCCTCTTACCTGTAGTGCTATTTATTAATGTAGATTGTTTTGGTGTGAGTTGCTGAGTGTTGGAGATATCAGCCGTGGAGATGTCTTCTTTCTCTCCAGTGTAATGGAGCTAGAAGGCACTCAGCTTGTGGTGCTCAAAGTGCCAAAAAATGTATTAGAAAAACTCAACAATAATGTCTCTTTCCAGAAATCATGACCCAGATACTCAAGATAATCCACAGACCTTGTTGTGAGCAGTTTCATGTAGGAACTATTTTCTTCCCACTGAACTACATCCACCAACCATATCCACAGTGTCTTTACATCCTTAAAGAGTCTTAAAATGTTTTAAATTCAGTTGTATAAATATTAGGCTTTAAAAGACATGAAAAAGTCGTACATTTTAATTTCCTTCTGCTCTGTGATTTGGTTGGCGGGTGTAACTCAGTAGAAAGAAAGAACCACAAGCTGAGTGCCATCTAGTTCCATTATATTAGAGAGAAGGCAGACATCTCTACGGCCGATATCTCCAACACTCGGCAACTTACACTAAAACAATCTAGACTGATAAACAGCACTACAGGTCAAAGGAAAAATATGAACTTCTGATTTTGGGGCGAACTGTCCTGTGAATATAGAAACCTGACTTGGATGGTTTTATTGGTCAGATGGAGCTGGGCCAAAGAGATCTGCCCACGTGTATCTGAGGCCATTTCCTCTCATTAGTCCTTTATTTATATCTCACTCGGGAAAGGCGAGACCTCGGGCCTCCCACCAGGACTGTCAGAAAACACACAACACAAGATGGCTAAATATAGAAACAACCAAACCCTGATTTCCGCTCTTGGAGAGTGGAGTAACTATTTTGGGAAAATGTCTACTTGGCCTGAGAGCCTGTTTTCATTCTCCATTGGTGGCCACTCGGGTCTCTCCGACCTTGTCTCTGGCCAGCTGGTGGATAAACAGCTTGTTTCATTTTCTCCTGCACACAATGAGAAGATCACACAGGAATAATGCTCATTGTCACCTATTGTAAGGACTGCAGGGACACTGAAATGATATGACAGCTCTCACACTTGAACCTGGCTGATAATGAACTACCATTCTCACCTATTATTCATTGTTAAGGACTTTGCTTCCCTCTTGTCGTTTTTCTCACGGATTGTGCTGTTTTCCTTAAAAGATCAGATGTCTGCAGGAAACACCAGGTGCATCAGCACTGTGTAGAGTACACCTTCACTGATGCCAAAGATACTGTAGCACACACTGGGTGATAAATCAGAATGCATGCTTTTAACATAATATTTCAACCAATAAAAACTCTGAAGAGGTATTCCTGTTATGCATGAACATGATGCAGACTGCCTGGATATTCTCTGTAAGCATGAATGCGCACCCCCACCACCAGAGCAGAGCCTCTGCAGTAATCCCAGTTTGTCATTGTGCAGCAATGTGAG